TCCCAATCCTGACCGCTGCCATCTTACCGGTATTGATATCTTCAAGATGTTTCACTTTGGTATTGTTGAGAGAGGAAGATGATGTGCCGAGAAATTCTTGAACTGGAATGTAGTCGTAAGGAGCCTTCCCGACCTTAGCGATCAAACTTGTAGGAGGCATAATGTTAGTGGGAAGCTCGACCTTCTTGCCAAATCTGTGGCGAAGGTTGTCCCGGTAGGACGCTAGATCATTAGCCTCTTTCTCTTGCTCCTGCCTGCGACGTTTGGCTGTACGCCAGGCCTTGGCCTCCTCAACCAGTGAGACCAGATGTAGTTTGAAGAATTGTTGTTGTTCAGCTGGGATGCGACCAGTCATACGTGTAACAGTTTCTTCACCGACATTGGCCAGCAACATAATAGAATATATCTTTTCCTCGATCAGCTGGGTAACCATGAGATCTTTGATCGCCTGGTCAATGTTCTCACCATCTAGTAAAGGATCTAGTAGATTCTTGGTAACAGTCTCCTGCTGATTAGCCATAGGGAAAAAAATTGGTGGAAACAAACCGTGCCTACACCAGTACATTAATAAAGTGTAGTGGACAAAGACAGAAAGACTTTACATCTTAGATTCTAGCTTGATGATTCAGCCTTGTTCATAGCGTCACACAGACCAGGGGGACAGGATAGTTGTGTCAGAGGAGTGCTTCGCACTCCCCGTATTGTGGGGCTCCACTGAGACGCATTTTACGTCTGTTAATGGATTAACTCCGGTTATTCGTTGGAATGCTAACTCATCAACGCAAAATTACGATGATCATGATAGAGGTTCATCACTACAGCCCCACAAGAAGGCATGTACATCATCAGTGCTTGTCTTACGACTCGGCAACCTCAATCTTCCAGCTAAATTACAAAGTGTTGGATCTACCTCGCTAACCACCCTAAAGTGATCCCTTGCCTCATCCCCTCGTGGTACGTATGGCGACAACTGCCCGACGAGGGTGAATGATTCCGAACGGCCTTTATCACCTACCGCTTTTATCGCTTCCTTTATGTGCGCGACACCTCTCGCCACTGCATCGTTATGAACTACGAGGAGTCTACTGCTTTTCAATGCTTGGGGCATTGCTTGATTCACAGGTTTCACGAGGAAAGTAGCATCAGCCGCCTCCTCAGCTCGATGAAGGGCATCCTAAATCGACGCTGTTGATAGGGTTAACACTCCAGTGTTGGAAGAATACATGTTCCTTCCCTCAGCTGAGTTCAGAAGTTTCCAAAGCTGATCATAGAAGCTTAGTTACGAATCAAGGTAGAATCCAACGAGGATTTCCCTACTATCCTCAACATATATAGTTCACCATGTGCATATTTCTCCTCCACATTTGAATACTCTCAATTCACCTTCATGTCACTATTCGCGTTCTCCATAGCATACCCCTGGCCGCAGCACCGTAATGCGTTGCTCACACCCGATTCTTTCAATGGTAGCAAATCACCGGGTAAGTCCCCGAAGTGTCGTAAATAGTCGTGTAACACCATGGGAATAAAGACTATACAGTTGCCCGGATGCTTATATCATATAGAACGAATCGAGTCTTCAACCACGTACAAGAATAATACGATTGTGCGCTGAGATACGACACGATGTCGATAAGCTGAGTATCGATTTCTAGTTTGCTTACATACTTGTAAAAACACTAACTCCAACACAAGAAGGTTACATTACAAAATTTTCCAACCTTGAACTGATAGTGCGACAATCACTGATTTTCAGCGCTGCACTCTACTACTCACTCCGAATGAGCGACGACGATAATGATTGACCAGAACGCCCACTCTTCCTTCGTTGGAAGAGGGGCCATAGACAGACCGTCTCCTCCTCCTTCTCCGAGACTGCATTACGAGCAAGCAGTTTCTCACGAACACCGTTGCCATGCTTGAAGATAAGCACGCCGGACATGATAACTACAAGTGCTAGCCACTCGAATGAATTGACGGTAGACGCCCCTATGAGGGGCCAACTTATGAGAGATAAAAATGCTGATAATGGTACTGTAAGTTTGAGACTAACGAATGTCAACAGGCTTGAACCATACGATACCAGCAAATATATAGTGATGTTAAAACAGATGTTGATAATCATGTAAACCAGAAATGCAGCCATTGCATGATCGGACCACAAAAGCGTCTGAAAACCAGCACGCATTTCCTCAACAACATCTCCACCAACTCTGGCCTTCTCTACAAAGTAAGAGACCGGTACAACCCACAGGACTCCCCATAGATGATTCGAACTAGTCACCGCGAAAATATCCAATTTCGTCGCGCGTGCCGCATTTTCTCGAGCATGTAAGTCGTATGCTCTGAACATGGCCTCCTTGATAACAAAACCGAGGGCTTGGAAAGCAGTAGAGGAGAGACACAATAAAGCCATCCAGAAACCGTCGGAGCCACCACCACGTGTCGAAGTGAATACAGAGGCGACTGCCATCGATACGACCAATGCTACACCCAAGATTTCCTCAAGAATGTATCGCGAACCCAGGACTAGCATAGACCACAACAACGTGAAGGGAACCATTCCTTGTTGAAGTAGATTGAATACGATTATTGAGAGATAGGCCTGGGTCAAAAACATTAGATTGTCACCAAGCACGTCACATATCGAAGACAGAAATGTGTACTTGCAACCCGGCAATCGTGACCACCACGAGCCGCCAGTAGAGAACGTCCAAAGCCACCTAATCTGATCCTCAGGAATCTTCCGAGATGCGTAGCGCACAGCGAAGATTGACCAATACGTTGCGAAGTAGACGCCCTGACCCAAGATGCTCGTGACGAAACCCGAGTAGTCGCCTAGAGGCTCAGAACGGATCTTGCCAGTGATAACATTAGCCGTGCCGAAGATGACCAAAACGACCATAAGAAGTGGAGTTATCCACCTCTCCGAGGCCTTGTGGGGGGAAGCTACGATCATGCTTGACTCGATCAAGCTACAACGACTACACTGTATCGGTTTTATAGTGTTCGATATGCAAATGTGTGTTATTTGTAGGACAAATGATAGTGAACAAGTTGTCGCTATCATCACAGTCCCGAACGGGTACTCTCATCATCACAACACATGTTCATAGCCATCGTTACGTTGTATCAGCATTTTCACACTAATTTGGGGAGTTCATATACGAAATCGGGTAGATATTTACACAAACCAACCACAATTTCCCAAAATTTCCTCAGTTTTCTCCTATTGTCACCAACACATGTAGTTGACACTGTGCAACCTTCCCCCTATTGCGACACAGTGTAGTCAGCCATCGCTTCCTGTAAGAGGTCCTCTCTCAGGGCGAATCAGTGGAAAAGGAGGAAAATATGCACATGGTCAACTTTATACACCCCTCCACATATTCTTAGCATATCCGGTTTTTCGACTCGTGCACAGCCACCACAACGAGTATCACCTCGCGGCTCAGGGAGGTATGTACTTATGCTTTACCTGATATGACCTCCAAGTTTCAGGGCCTAACTCTTCGTAGTTAGTGAGAAGTCAAAGAC